AAGCGAGAAATTTTTTTGGAAACAGTTTTCCTGACCTCCTCTGAAATGAGGTAAGTATAGGTAAAGTATACGAAAGGCTGAACTTTTGTTTGGACAACTAACTCAATACTGTTGACTTTTACGGCTTTGTTGTCTATCGAATTTCTTTCATGCTTTTTTCCACTCTGCATTCGAATGCACTGTAACCTGTGATAGAAGGGATAGAAGAAAAAATAGAATGATATTATAGATGCCGATCGAACTGGACTGATGCACTAAAGGTCAATCATCTTCAGTCTCAGAGATTTTCTATCGGAGAAGATCAGCCGTACCACTGCTGGACAGAATAACTTAACCCCCCTCCCCCCGTTTACACAAAAATTCATGCACTCTAAGTTCAAATCCAATTTGACTATTTAATACATGCTCTTCAAACGATAGAGCCAATTCGAGATTATCGCCACCCCATTTTACATAGGGCACCATGGTTGGACAGTGCGATCCATCATATAAATGCTTAACGACAAAAAAATTGTCATGAATCATGAACGGACCATGGCGATACTGTTGGGACTAATCACTGTAGTTCTGTACAGTTTCGCTGGCGATAATAAATGGCCTTCACCAGTCATGGATGGAACATGCCTATGCATCATCTAAGAATTACACCGTTGAAATAGCCATGACATCTATTACTAAAAGTTATTACGATCAACACAAGTTTCGTCGTCTATATCTGTCCCTTGCTGTCAACACATAATGCAGCAACAATCGCCATGTGGCCGCCAGCAAGAAGATAACTTCTAGCAGTGCATGCATAGCTTGCTACAAAATGATCGAACATCTCATGAGCTGACATAATTAAATAGAAAAATAGAGGAATACGTCGCCGTCCAACTTGATTCTGAATATGCAAATACACAAGTGTGAAAATCAGCAGAATGGAATCGAACTGGCGTGTCATACGGTACGATAGCTGTTTGTGAACCTCATACTTCGTCGTCTGATCGTAGCAGCCCATACAGCGGATCTGTTCGGTAGAGGTAATTATTCGTCAGTAAATATCAAGCGTATTTAAGCCTCTACATTGGCCTCACTTCCAAAGCCAGTGCATTGGAACGCCATCTAACGTGTAAGCTGAATGACGCAAATATGCTGCAAAATATTTTGATTTTGGACGTTTTATGGACTGTGATAATTTTTAGGACCACGGTACAAGTCAATCAAGCATCTACTGGAATACAGCAGGTAATGTCATTCAATCATGGATGCGACAATTCATTAATGTAAATTCCAGTTCCATCAACAACCATTCTGAATAGCTGCACACCGGGGACCCTTGCTATCATGTTGATCAGGCTTAATAATCCTCGAGGAACTTTGCAGAATGGTGTACCTTGTGGATTAGAACGAGGAACGCCGTACCTCTGCAGCCTTTACATGTCCATTCGACTTACCATTAGACAGTAAGTAACGAAAAAGCGACACAAGCTCAGACAGTGCATCTTTGATATTACAGGCAGCAATATAACGAATATACGTTTCAACTTGGCCAACTTACGACTGCAAGGAATTCCATAAACTTTTCTCCGTGCGTTTGGTACCTGAACTTTCTCAACCCACTGCAGTTTCCTCTACTCAATCAATATCAAGTAGGTGGTAAACCGAAACGTTTTGCAGAATTTTTCGCGACGCTTTCCAGGGATTTATAATGACGATAGAAATATACGATTTCAACCCACTCACCACGGGGCTACAACTGATTGACAGTTTCGTGATCGATCGCCGAGCAATTCAAGGTCAGGAGACGATTCAACACCAAAGAGGCAGTGCTGGTGCAATAACGTAAATTTGACAATGCGATGTACTGTATTAAACAAGTTCACTTTAGTTTCCAATTTTCTTACAAGGCCTGGTTTCTGTACAAGTAAGTCGCTTGAAATTGTAAAAATTTCTTATATGATTCATGCTTATCTTCTTTAGTAATTTGTATTCATGCAATCGCTTCCCATTTTCCCACGCTAATCGTTAATCTGTAATGGAATTGATTTCCCTTTTGACTGGCATCTCTCTACTTTAGCTATGTGACATGCACAGTGTACAGTCTCCTATTTCCTTCCAAAAAACTGGTACTCAT